CTCTCTAATTCCCTTGATCTTCAAAAAAAACCTCCAATGAAAACCAAACTGGTAACCTTGCAGAAGCTTGAAAACTAGCTCCCCCCTCGATTTCCCTCAAAAAAAACCCCTCTCAAAACTATATCCCCCCTAACCTTATCCTCTGAATTTCTTCAATCTTCCGTCTTAGATCCGGAATTGGCTCCCACCTCAAGCTTGGATCCGAAATTGGCTCTCACCTCAACTTGGATTCGAAATTGGCTCTCGCCGCCAAGCTTTCTCCTCCGTTTTTACCTTTAAGAAATCCATTTACCGAAAACAACGTTCCCTGAGACGGCACAGAGAACAGGACAGCCTGAAACAGAATCGAACCCCGTAATCGGGACCACATTGAGTCGCCCGACCAATTCAGGTCCTATATTGGTAAAGATGCCCGTAGTAACCTGGATGTTCCCGTAATTGGGTCAAATTGGTCTTCGCGTCAGATTGGCTAAGACCCGTAGTAAGACCTGGATTTCCTGTAACTAGACTGCATTGGGTTGCCCCACCAATACAGGTCTCATATTGGGTAAGAGGACCCGGATTGGATTATCGAAATTGGATTCAATTGGCTCCTCGAATCCGTCGTGTGAATTGGTCCTTCTCTTCCTGCTGACTCCCGTTATTGGAATCGAACGGGGCATTTCAGTATGCCCCGGCTGACTGTAACGGAGTCACTGAACCTGACCACTCAGTATTTGTACTGGAGTTGGTCGATGTTCTCAATATTCGAGGTAACTGAATATTAATAAAATTCCCCTTTCTTTTTATTTTCACTGTATACTCGTGTCACAACACGACACCGTGATACGATTATGAGGCATTTGTGGCAAATATGTAATGAGATCCACAGCCATTTACTTTCAATGTATTATAAATAGAAAAATTGGTTACAATAGCCTAGGAGATGTTGCGTTGCATGCTTTATTATGTTGATATGACTTACAAGAGCATACAAAAGCTCAAACATTATAATCCAAATCTGTTCAAAATCATATTCTTGAGATCTATTCTAGAGTCTTTTCTTGCCCTAGATGTCTAAATATTAGAATATCATATCCTTCTTGAAGTATGCACGTCCAAAATATAACATTATTATATACATAAATCTACTTTTTGAAATAGAGCAAACCAATATTAAGACTGTAACCATAATATTACATATTATCCACCTTCAATTGATCACTAATCATCTTTAAATAAGCATCTGAATGTATAGCTTCCTTTCATTTTGTCTCTTTGGTTAGATTTAAAATGACACTATCAATGGTGGCAACTTCTATCTTGTCTACCAATTTGTCCTTCAAATCTAATCTTTGTGATAAGTTATCTGAAATAATATGTTGCCCTTGCTTATACTCAAGCTCGATATCAAATAGGTGCAACTACTTTTCTCAACAATAATGTCATGATTTCATATTTTTTGGATGCAAATTGTATAGTACGGATCGATGGTCAATCCGAATAACCACTTGCTTCTCCAACAAATAGTGTCACCACATCTTTGTTGTGTGTACAATTGATAATTACTCTTGATGACGTCAAGAGTAATTGTACTTTGCCCTTTTGAACTTACATGATTCATATACCGTAGATTGAAGGCCCCTATCAAAGTCTTATTGAAGGACCACTCCAATAGTAAAGTCAAAAGCATCAATGTCAAGCATACAAAGAAGGTTGAGATTATATAATTATAATATTAGAACAATAATGAGTACCTCCTCCAACCTATCAAAAGAGCTTTGTTGCTCCAATTTCTATTCAAATAGGGCACCCTTCTCCAATAGGTTTGTCAATGAAGGAGCGATGTTTGCAAATTACTAAACAAAATGGCGATAATATCTAGCAAGGCCTAAAAATGAGTGGACTTCAGATACATCCTTGAAAGTTGGCCAAACTTCCATCACTTTTACCTTATTTTGCTCCATATGCACACCTTCGGAGGATACTACATGCCCAAAAAAGTGGCTTATAACTTCCAAAGTTAACATTTTTATTGCTTATAATAGAAACAACTATTTTATAGCCAACATAGCACTTTTCATAAGTATTACTCATGTTCTTCAGGGATTTTATTATATATGAGGATATCATCAATAAAGACAACTATATACTTGTCGAAAAGGTCCCAAAATAATTTGTTCATATGATCTATGAAAGAGGTTGGAGCATTGGTGAGGCTAAAAGATAAAACAAGCCATTTGAAATATCCATAGCATGTACAAAATGACATCTTTTCTACATCCTCTCTTGTAATAGGTGTTTGCAAATGGATTCTTCAGAGATCTAATTCATTAAAGATAGTTGCACCTTGAAGTTGGTCAAGAAGATCATCTATATATAGAAGTAGATATACATTCTTAACACTCTATTTATTGAAGCCTCAATAGTGAATACAAAGGCAAATTCTACCATCCTTCTTGGATGCAAAGACTTTTTGTGCTCCCCATGGTGATGTGCTTTCTTGAATGAAGCCCTTCTCTAAGAGTTTTTCCAATGTCTTTTGTAGTTCTTTGAGTTCTTTTAGTTCTAGGCAATAAATTAGCCAACTTGTTGGTTTGACTCTATGCAATAGTTCTATTTAAAAAGAAGCACTTTAATCAAGAAGCACGCTACTAGGTAAGTTGATTGTAAAGACATCTCGATATTCTCGTATGAATTGATCTACTCATTCTATTCCTTCAGTTGTCTTTTCTACCATTAATGCAAGATTTAGAACCACCATAAATATTGGTTGCTTATGTTATCTTCGCTTCTTTATAAATGTTGTCCTACAATTAAGTCTTTGATTGCACATTGTCTTTCCTCTTCACTTGATGTGGAGGTACAAAGAGTCACCTTGCATCCACCATCTTTGAAGGGGATTGTCCTTGCTATCCAATTCACTTATTTATTTTCCATCTCTAGCCATGGCATACCAAAGAAAACATCATATCTTAGCTTTATCACCTTGAACCTCTCTCTTAAGCTATAGGTGTTAGTCAACCTTAAGGTTTTTTCTTTATATGTCTCACTCAATATGTTCTCATGGTCATCTATAAGGTATATACTTCTTCCTTTGATTGCCTTAGTTTTAATTTAAAGTTAGTTGATAATTTCAGTTAAGATGCAATTTTTCATAGAGCCATAATCTACAAGCACTTGACATGGTTGTCTTCTTAATAGTCCCATTAGATATACTAGTCAACACTTTTTATAGTTGTCCAAGGCTATGCCATTTGTCTTTGAGAGATAGTAGCTATCTCAAGTATTGGCCATCAATGCCTTTACTTGGAAGTTCTATTTTCTTGCTCTATTTCATTATTGACTCGCTGAATTTTGAAGCTATGAATCCATCTTCTTTTGCTGGTGCTTGAATTTTGACATTTTGGACAACCTCTAATCTGATTGTGTAGCTCCCAACAATAGAAACACAATTTCTTTTATACTAATATTTGTCGTCTTTGTAGTGTCAATGATTCTTGTAGGGCATGAATTTCCATTGGTGTTGGTTGTTATGCCATAGTATTAAACAGCAGCATAGGACTTTGTGCTATAGGTTGTGCTCCACAATTTTTGAAATCTATAGCATCAACTCTCTTTGCAATCCAAATAGTCTCTTCAAAAGTAAAGAAGGCTTCATTATTCCCTCCATATACATTATTTAACTAAGAACTACGTTGTGATATTCTATAGGACCTCCAATACATGTTGACTTTGGAAGACACATGTCTTAACTTACAAAATAAGTTTTCTATATATGTGCGCCACATAATTAGCTTGTTCCACAAGTTACCAACATGTATAGCATGTGATTAACTTGTTGACCAAGTTTTTAACCTACCAATCAATTTCAAATATGTGTAAAGTCAAATATTGCTTCTATGAAGCTTCTAAGAAGCCTTTCTAAAAAATATTATGAAATTGGTCTACATTTATTTATTTCTACTTCATCGTATTGATAACTATTGGAATAAATACATATATTTGTGACATAATAAAAATTATATCAAAGAATTAGATATGATGATTTAAAATGAGTCTATATAGATAGATATATATATATATATATATATATATATGTATTAAATTTATTATTTTATTATTTTCTTTGATAATTGATATTACCAAATTTTATCAAAAGTTGACTTTGATAACAAAGACATATAATTAATAATTATATGTATAAAAATGAACGTATTTTATTAGTTGATTTCAAAACAAATAGTTGTTCATAAGAGAGGGTGGCTAATATTCTCAGATTTTATACTATTTAAATAATAAATCAATTTTTATGTTATTTATATTAATAGCTATTATATTTGGATTGAAATTTTTAGGATCACTACAAGATATATATTATTAATCCAAATATGTTTTAATATTAAAAGAATTGTACTTTCAAGAAAATTAATATATTTTAAAAATTAAAAATTATAATTATATATAATATGAAAGAAATTTTCTACATATATAATACAAGTATAATTTGATAGTAATTTATAAATAATTTTGAATAAATGACCAGTAAAGACCTTAAATAATTTTAGAAGAATAACAACATAAAATATTATAACTAATTATAATTGTTTGATTACTATAATATGTAAATAGATTATTTAAATATTCATATTTATATGTTGTTGAAATTTAATTCAAATACTACCTTTCAGAAAGAAAAAACAAAAAACAAAAAAAACAAAACAACGAAAAGAAAAATGTCTTTTGATCTACATCCGAGAATAAACACACAAAGTCTACATGACAGCTAACAATGCATTCTTCAAAGTTAATTTCTTCATTTCATATTTTTATCTTTTCGCATATTTCCTTCCTTGAAACAAACACAATCCACACTTTCACAAGCTGCGAAGGAGAAAGTTTAAACCCTTCGCAAAACTATTTCCCTGAAGCAAGTTTTACATTGTAAATTCACACTTAATCTTAGTATTTGGTATTTATTGCGGCCTGCTTCTAGAATTCATTTACTGAGCAAGGAATTTGCGGTGTTTGTGTTTCGTTAGCCTTCAAGCTTAGTGCACAAGAACGAAGGCAATTCTTCGTTAAGGCGAGAGATTTCTGTTTAGGTCGGCGATGGAGTGAATCTGTTGTCGTGTTGCAGTCTGATCCAGAATTGGGTATGGCAGGCACTGTGTTCTGATTGATGGGAGACTGTGCAATTGAAGATTTTGCATTCGGGGTGACGTCGAGAAGTGGGCTCTGGGAGGATCTGTGGTCGAAACCTCGCTTTTTCTGGTGCTTTCAAGTGTGTCCATGGGCTCCAGATTGTTGTGGTTGTGCCTGTGCGACGATGGATGGCGTCTGTGGGGTCGGGACTGTGTACCTTTCGCTCCCAGGTTCAATAAGGGTTTAACAAGGATGTTGCATGTTCCTCGATACGCCTCATGAGGTGCAACCCAGTTTCTTAAATCGTTGTTGAATTTCATGGACGGAGGTGTGAAGGCTGGAGCACTTGTCAGTTTCTCGACAGCGCTTATGTTTAGTTCTGGAGGGTGATCTTGTGGAGATTGTGCGCAGCGAATGGACGCATATGAGTCGTTTTGATCAAACTGCTGATCCGATTGCTAAAGCGGTGTTGATAAGGATGGGAGCTAGGGCGTGCATGGTACCGTTGTCGCTGCGAGGGTCTCCTTTTAGGGGATCCGATGGCATGGTCACCAGCTCTTCCCTCTGCCTCTCTGTGCCGTCGTCCACACGCTCAGGTGCGTTTTCTTTGTGGTAGAGGTTGACTGTTCTAACTTGAATTCGATGGTTTAGTTTAATCTTCATGTGATGGAGGGATAGTAGTGCATTGTACTAGGGTTTGGTTTTTATTTTTGTATTTTTTTACAGGTGAGTCATTGTAGGAGTTGAAAATTTGATCGAAATCTAGTGGCTCATTGTGCACAATTTTCTCTTCTTGGAGACAAGCATTGTTGCTTCCTGAATCGTGGATAAATTCCTGTAGCTTCCTTGTGGGAGACGTTGACGATAGAGGCTAAGAAAGGAGGAAGACAACCAACCAAGACAGAAAAAGCCAAAGTACGTGAAAGGCGAATGAGGAAGAAGGTAAGGTAACAAGGGCTTAGGAAAACTCCTAACCCAATTTTGAAGAGACGGAATAGTATGACATACATCACTGGCACTAACCCACGATGAAATGGATAAGGTTGCGGTTTTTTTCTGTTTTTAGTTTGTTCTCGTGCTCATTTACCTCAAAACTTTAAAGTGGGTGTAAGTCTTGTCATTACCTGGGCCTTATAGAGCCTCATTGTGAATGTGTTTTGGGATGTTGTGTGCAGCTAAACGGTACCACCGAAAAGCCTCGATTGGCTGTCTTCCGTTCCAACGATCACCTCTACGCTCAAGTTATTGACGACACAAAGAAGCAAATCCTGGTAGCATCCTCCACTCTTAGCAGAGAGATTCGTGAGTCCATCGATGGCACCGCAGACCCTACCATGGTGATATCCTCTTTTCCGTTCTGGAAAGCTCTTTTGGTCCCATTTAATCACTGGAGTGCTTTTTTTGGTCATTGATCTTGTTCCATCAAGCTTACCTACAATGTTCAGAGTTGTATACATTTTCAAATATCATTATCATGCTAGATACTTCCTGATGAACTAAGAATACTCAAAGTTGTCAGCCATAGCTCAATAGCAAAATTGTCTTCGCAGGATACTGCAAAAAAGGTTGGAGAAACCATTGGGAAGCTGTGCATTGAGAAGGGAATCAGTAAAGTGGCTTTTGATAGACAAGATTATTTCTACAAGGGGCGTATCAAGGCGTTTGCAGATGCCGCACGCGAAGTTGGACTAGAATTTTAGACGTAGTTCAAACACGTAGAAACCCAACTGTTGAGGTCCAAAGTGACGATCTTACGTCTGGGATTAGGTACAGCTGATATTGGAGTCCCGCAACAATTCCTATGTGACTGTCATGACCATCACAATTTAAAAATATGGCTTGGCACCATGGATGCATCGCATGAGACTTTCCCACAAGTCTTCGAAACCTAATTGGGTGTCTTGAACTTCGCCAGACCTACACCTAAAAATTGTTGCTTGTTTTTAAGTTGAAAGGAGCTATTTCAACTGACAAAATTGAGTATCGTAGCCTGAGCGGTAGCAAATGTTTCCACCCTACGTACCCATCGGCTCCAAGTTATTTTATACGTAATTTGCATCCTACTAGGTCAACTAACAGGTTAGAGGTCTTTGTCTGCTCCCCAAGTATAGGATGATAATGTGCACTAACGACAATATTCTTGCTAACACTGCACAAACAAAGATTAAATCTATCGATATGAACATTTGATGTCGATATTAAAAGGCCTTCATGGACAGCCGTTGCCATTTTGTTAATCAGAGGCTCTCTGAATCATAGATTCCATCATCCTGCATTAGTTGGTGTTCCTTAAACGCTGGAGCTCCCTTTACTGGATTTGAATTCATTTGCAACAAATTTTGTATCCTTTAGAGAAGAGACTCTCTTGCAAAGTGGGCTTATTGAGATATGTTACACCTTTCTTAAAATTCATAGAAAGTTTACGTTTCCTAGTTTTCTTTCCAAGGCAATGGGGCTGCGAAATTAAAGAAATTTGTTTGGGACCCGGGAGTTGGAAACCATCACTGACACACAGCTTGTAAAACGTCCTCATCGACTACAGCTTTGGGCAACCTGAGGACGAAGTCTTTGGTGTGTCGAGGTCCTTTAAAAGAGGCTTGCCTCGCCAAAATGACCATGGTTTGCGGTTGAGCATACACTTCGAAGTAAAAAACGAGCTCCTCCCACTTCTCTTGACACTCAGCTTGGCACCACATGACGTTAGGCTTGAGTAACTATTCCGCCCCACCATACCGCTTTGCTGTCAAAACTCTGACGTCTCTGCAACGGGACGCAGCCCAGTACCACATTACATGGCTGTGCTTGCAACGCAGGCTTCCTCGGACTGTAGCTGTAAGCTTGCAATGTCCAGCACTGCGCTTTTTCGGGTCTAAGAAAGAGTCAGAGGCGAATCAACTACAACCAAATCCAATTTCTGATTATCTATCATGTGTAAGAATGAAGAAAGTTCCAGTTATGGCCTGACCTCGTGGCCATGTTATGACAAATGTGTCCCATCTGCAGAGAATATTGTACATATGAAAGACGCCAATCACTCTCTCTTTTCTACACAAAGTGGTCATTACAGCAATTAGAGGCTGACACTGTGTTCTCCACTTGGCAATCGAAGCAGAGTGTGAACTTCTTGTCTCACACGCTTAACTTTTACACTACAACACGAGATCTTTTCAAGTGTGGCACAAGACGAAGATATGCTTGACAGCAATTCTAGCTTGCCTGGTGGTACTTCTATATATCATGGCGTCCTCATCTCTTGCAAACATCATTTTAAAGCAGTCCTCTCCATCAGGCCTATGAATGCTCCACTATATAAAATCAAAAGAAGAAAATGCAGAAGCACACACCTAATTTACTCTTGAAACAAATCGTAATTAAAAATGGACATATTCAAGATTTGTAAAGACAGTCAATAACAGGTAATAATATTAAATCGTAATTATAACTTTATATTAAATTAAGAATATATGTTGAAGACTAAGTGCTACAAATATTTATACTGAACAAGACCCACTGGGGCACATGGGGAATTTTTGGTCTCATATGACCTGTCGCCCACATGCTGATTGATTGACTGTTTGATACAATTCATATTGATATTCATGATATAGACTATACCCTTGTTCAAACAATAAGGGTATACAGTTATTACATTTAACTTTAAAGACAGAGATATTTTTTGGAAATCATGTTTGCGACCTATCTTCAAATCTTGTGTGAAAAGTTTCTAATCATAGACAGCCCAAGTTCGATCACAAAGTCACCCATCCAGACGAATCCTGCAACGGTCCATCCAAAAAACCATTCATCTGCGACGCCGCCTGCGCAGGAGCTGTACCAAATGTGAAGGACCATCCCCCAGCGGCGCACAAAGCCGCAGCGGACGAGGTAGCAATAGAAAAGCAGATCCGAGCATGGCAGTACAATGTGAGATTTCGGAGAGACGGCTTTGAGTGAGCAGTTGCCAGCACGGAGCACCCGGCACTGAGGCCGTGGCGGAGAAGGCGGTGAAAGTTCTGTGAAAATAGACTCAAGCAGACGAGAAGTCTACTTTTGATTTGAGATTCAACGCCAGCTCCGAACACGTCACACAGGTGTCGATGCTAGAGGCCGTTGATGCTGCGACTACAATTCACGAGTTCCTCGTTCTTGCCATCTCCAAACCAGACGCACAGAACACGAGCAAACTCTACGGCTGGCGATGACAGTTGATAGGTTTACAGTAATACGATCAATCCGTGGTCTGTCGGGGCTGTGGATCAATGCTGTGATGACAGTCCAGATCGAAGCATTCCGTGAGTTGGGTCGTGATTGCTACACCCAAATTGAGTCCATCGTGTCCAATACATGGTGTGTGTTCTGAAAACGTGATTCGCTCCGTCTTTGCTGCAGCTTTAAAATTCAACGGCAATGACATTGGACAGCGTTTCCACCAATCGCAGCGTGTGTTTCACTACTTATCTTGATCTCAGTATTTGAAACTATGACGCTCAACTGTTCTCCACAATCAAGCATTGTGATGTATTGAAAGCAGTAGATGTTGGGAATCCTCTACCCACTTTTGCCTGCCTCTACTCAGAGGGGTCTCTTATACTACTCATATCCATCTTACAAACAGAAAAGCATGCTCATACTGGTGCCATCTTAGTCAGCTCGTGATTGGCCAGCTCGGGAAGACAGAATGATACCCACGATAAGTCCGTATAAAGCCAGCGCCTCGGCGAAAATCAGAATCAGGATCATTCCTACAAACAGCTTGGGCTGTTGCGCATTGGCCCTGCACAAAACCCCATCCTCCAAGTTAACAAGGACATGATCAACAAATGGCATCAACTCAGCATCCTCAGATATCACGTGCATGAACGTAAAGCCTCTACGAATTGAATCCAGATTGGCAGACTATTGACTCCAACTTCAAAACGTATTTTGGTACATCGCCACATTGCAAGGCTTTGTCAAGTACCTAACACCAGCATCTCCGACGATACCAATGGCCATGCCTGCCGATAGACCAGCCAACCCACACGACAATCCAGATGAAAGGTGCGCGTAGCCGTCGAACACGTAGTAGGGCTTCGACTTTGGGTTGATTCCGGTACTGATAATCACGGCGATAATCAGCCCGTAGATACCCAACACTCCAGCCATGACCACAGGCACGATCGACTTCATCACCAGCTCGGGCCGCATCACACCCATGGATGCCACTCCCACTCCACTCTTGGCTGTCCCATAAGCAGCGCCCATGCCTGACGCAATAACATTCAACATTTAGTTCATGTCCAGGAGTTTCGAAGTCGCACCCTAGCTGAGGAAATTGAAGCTTAAGTGCCCAACACCGTTCACGGGGAAACGCTTGGCGTAATTTTTCTTTATCTTCCACCTACATACGCAACCCTCTTTCGGCAAATTCATACCGTTTTGGCTGATTTATCATAAAATGCCCCACTCATATCGTGCAAGATGCATCCATCAGGCACCCAATTAACGGCTAGTTATCTCACTAGCAGGAATCATGAAATTATCATTACTCAATTCGAAAGGGCACATACTGCTTGTATTGGAAAAATGAGGATAACCCTGAACTGAAAATTTCTACAATATAACATAAGAGACGAATAAACAAGGCATCGCGCTAGCAAATTTCAACCCTTCCAACAGAGTCGGCACGCGTTTCCGCAGCAAACTCTTTCTACTACCTCACCCAACATCAAAGAAGAAAGCACTACCCCAGACCAAGCATAATTAAATAATCATCTAACAACACAAGGCATGCGCATCTCACCGACACATACGCGTACACAGACCAATCCATCACCCCCGCGCCCACCCAGAAATCATTTGATCACATCAAATCCTAATGAAAAATCTCTACAAACTGTACTCAAAACACTGGTAGCAATCCACAAAGCTGAAATCAATAGGGGTTCTCAATACCCTAAAGATAGCTTATTGTGTGTCTCTTGTAGATTAGAGACTACTTACGACCATGTCTAACCAGACCCCAATGAAGAGAAACCCAATAGTAAAAGAAACAATTCTGAGCTAGATCGCTGGCGGGTGAGTCCATACATGAAAAGACGAGAGCAGCTGCAGCTCCAATGAAGCCGAAGAAGGGGGCGACCTCATCTCCGTTGAACACAGCAGAGGTCGACATGGCGCCGGTATTAATTCAGGACGTAAACGAAACAGGAAAAACAACTGGGGATCGAGAGAAGTGAAGTAGACTGAAAGTGAAAGCTGTGTCCTGGGAAGAACGGATCTAAGCCAGCAGGATCGAGTGAAGAAGTAAGGAGTAAGGGAGGGAACAAAGTGAATATGGAAGAAGAACCAACTCCGCGACGCTCACGCTGGATGCAAGATGTAAGGAAGGCGATAGCTACGTAAACCGCTAGCTGTCTGTCTGCTTTAGGTTTCTGGGTGCATGAGAAGTTACTCCACCGAGCAGCGTTTTTCCCCTCTAGTTATTGATATTGTTACTTTTCCACTATTCAAACGGTCGATTTGGGGCAATAACACTGGAAACAACAGTAGCTTTGCGTGAAAGGTGGATGCATGTTTGATTAACTCCATATTATACTTGACTGTCTGCACACTCTAATCACTCAAATCACTCAAATCACTCAAATAGCACTCTCAACAGTAGCTGAAATGCACTTAGAAACGTGGAAAACAAGTGAAAATAGCTAAGATGCATACATCATTTATACAATGCAAGCCATAAAAACCTGAGAAAGATTGGCACAAAACAAATACGCAACATCAGGCCAAGTCAAGCTTTACATGAAAAAGATCCAGTTATAAGAAAATTTGCTATTCACAGCCAAGAGTGACGGAAATAAGTTGCTTCCCACTAGCTACATTTTAGCATCAGCATATACACCCTTGTCCACCCACGTGCCATGACTGCGGCTTACAACGGGTGCAATAGATGTGGCAGCACCGACTACATCCTTCCAGAGCGTGTGCAACATGGAATCTACAAGGGCGTGTTGTTGATGAAGGACTGGAACAAGTGTAGAGCACGAGCTGGTTGTGTGTATGGCACCATATGCCCAGCACCTCTAACAGTGGAAAATGTAAGCTTATCGTACTTTGTGACATAGCCTCCAACCTACAGACGGGAAAGCCATGAAGAATAAGATTGCCTCCTCGAGGTGTAATGCTATGTGTACTGAACCATTTAGTCAAGGTGTGATTCATTACAGACGAACAGCAGAGCTTCAAAAGGTATAATTTTTATGTGTCATAATGATGACCCCAAAGCATCCAGAACAAGGCGAATATTGGCAGCATAGCACATTACAAGTAGACTGATCCAGTGCCCATAGATCTGCACAATACTCTAAGTTATGAACCACGATAAACGTACCATTCCAGGAAAAGAGATTCATACCTGATTATCGACAGTCCATGGTCTCCAAGCCTCGGTGATGTTCAGTGGCAACAAGTTAAGCCAAGTGCGGGTGCCAGTCACAGGAACAATAGCATCCACATCGCCACTGGGTACAAGAGAGCCATGACATAAGGGATCCGCACATGAACACCATTCACATGAAAGAGAGGTGTTTCTGTCCACAAACTTAGACAGTGACTGAGAATCGCCACTCAAACTTTGTTCACAATGCCACAAAGGAATGAGAAATACGTACCTGAATACCAATATTTTAATATTGGACTCCAGTAGATTGTGATAAACAGGAAGGACGCTTGACAGAAGGTCGTCGAACGAATAGTCCACAATCTCACTGCGACGACAGAACACAGTGCCGTCAATAAACCCTCATTCGGAATCCGAAATCGACCTAGATTTCCATTTCCAGGCAAATCATAACAAACCTTGTAACAGAAAAAAGCAAAACAAATGGCACCGAAAGTAACCTGCAGTCAGTCCATCGCCATGGCAGATGAGTAGTGTTGGCATGCAAGGCTTCCTGCACCTCTGGCCTGTTCAAGTAAACCTCCACCTGCAACGCTAATAACTCATTGATAAGAGCACACTCATATTGTGCAACGAAACCTAAACGAGACCCTAACAATGATGGCCCGATTCAAGTGAAATTTAGAGATTGCAGGATCAGGCGCTTTACCAGACGTAATGGAAACAATGAAATTCATCCAACGAATAACGAGACCAATTAATATGGCTTTGTTCCCGGCCAACACATAATGACAGCATTAGCTCAACATCCTAACGCACAATGATCTTTTGTCATGAACTAGACGGATGATGTTGAAGACCAACAGAAGAATACTTACCTCATCATCAACACATGGATCGTATGAGTCCTTCATCAGAGGTCGAGTGGAGAGTCCACCGAATCGGGTGCGGCTTAACTACCGACCAATCAACAAGTTTTGTCAGTTCAAAACATGCTAGAACAAATATCGTTCAGATTCACAGTTTCCTTCCATTGGGACAGGAAATCAGAAAGTGAGAAGGAGTCGTCAAATCAATCGACTCAGCACATAGCTTAGTCCAACGTGGTTACAACTTCAGTGTACAACACGACAGCATGTCACAACATACCAGCCTGTAAATACGTTACCTGCTTGCCAAAATGACGAGTTTCAGCCTGAGCTTGGGCAGATACACAAATGTCTGCGTAGATTTCATATATGTTGATGTTACCCTGTACTAGACAAACATTTTCATGAGACTTCTCCCTAATACGTAATACATATGGAAGCGTTACTGAAAATGATTCTGTCCAATTAGGGAAAACAACATATAGTTGACATCCACACAAGCTTCAATAGTTCCAGCTTCCAGACACACCTAGGAGTAAGTGGGAGGGGCAAGTTTTCAAAAGAATAATCATCCATGGTAGGTAGTTTCAGTAACTTGCCAGTTCATTGTTCGCAATATCCACATATTTGTCGCATAGATCATCTGCCTCACTTCGAAGCGGTCCAACAGATGAAAAATTGCACTACAAACACAAGGTAATTTGTATCAGAGAAGAATAATAAGGAAGTTGGTGTAACAAAAGCAGGCAAAGAGGGAGTTGACACTCACGTTTTTCACGACTCCTTTGAAGGTGGAATCAGAAACAAGAGCATGAGTCCACCAGAAAAATATAGCTCCAAAGTTGTCTACATTGGCGTCAGTCCATGCATTTCCAACCTGTAATGAATTTTTTTTAATTAGCCAAATAACACGGTTCTAGTATGATGAAAAGATGGAGTATGTGTAGGTCACATGCCACACTTGTGAAATATCAGAGCCTACTATCGTAGAAGTTGATATCGAGGTACTGATGACAGACGAGAAGATGGAAGAAACATACAAGCATTCCTTGCAGATTTATCTTCTTGTTCGAACCAACTTTGTTACCCTCCAGGATGGTATCCGCTAGCTGGGGGACATAATGACCTGCACAACCCAAATTTTTCAGCAAAAAGTTACAAAAATCTAAATCGGCGAATTATGAAATATACAACACGACCTTCAATCAATCATATCAGAGTGCGGTTTAAAAGATGCTGGGAAGAATTCTGTGCAACTAAGATGTTTCATCAGTCATTCAGAGCCCGAGAGATAGAAACCAACATACATCACGGATGTAAATACTTTGTTCTTCTCACGATATTCAACTTTACCTGAAAATGGATGTTTACAAAGCGTTATTACCTGCATAGCTTTCTCCGGAAATATAGAACTTGCTTGATGAGTATAGAGGATATTGCTCAAAGAAACGGAGCAGAAAAGCATAAGAATCTTGAGCTGAAACACCAAAAGGGACACAAAAAGCAACGGCAATAGGCACAAGTAAGAGCCCACATAAAAATGGACACGATTGGACTGAGAACTCGACTTGGCCAGCATAGGCTTAAACAGCTAAAGTAGAATCCTAAATAAATCATACATATACGACCACAGCATGGTAATCAATGCCTTTTCACACAACAGGGTAATGACAGCGACCAAATGCGCCATCTATCATGCTGTATCGCGTGTCTAAGCCACAGGCAGATTTGTGGAGGCATTCTTCAAAGAAGAGTAGGAAGATTAAATAGAAGGATCTAAAACTTCAAACAAGTGAAGAGAAGAGAATAGGCAAAGAGCACAAAAATCTAACCAGTCCGCTTATCACCAGTCTTGTAATCAGTCGTCGTGTTTGAGTAAGAAAATCCCACTCCAGCTGGAGATTCAAGAAAAAGCATGTTGGAAACTGCGCAGAAACCCAAGAATGAGATGTCAGCAATAACAGCTGGTTAAACACCCCGTGAAACAAAGAACACTGACCGAACAAAGAGTCACCGAAGGGGAAAAATCTGATAACTCAACCTACCACACTTTTTCCAGCTGTGACTAGGTAGCAAACTCTTAGATATGACAGTTAATACCGGTTTTATGACAAAAATACTAACAGCGATCCATCATGCTACCTAAGAAGAAACAAAAACCAGCCTCAGACACTGGCAGTAGGAATAATTAGTTTCACTACCTTTATTCCATGCATGTGCATTCGGTAGCAAATGAGCCCCATCACGAGTCGGATAAAAGGGTCCGAGCTCACTCAGCATTCCTCCGCCAACCGAGGAGCATCCAGGACCTGCACGATAGTCAACATTTCCGATCAGTATCCTTTGTTCTGTTCAATAAAGGGAGCCCATCAATCACGGGAACCTCAGCGTACAATATTTAACGTGGTTTCAGCAATTTCAGGGATAGCTGCACAACAATATTTTCTGTTGATTGTAACCCATGCCCTGCACCTCAAAGCGCGGGGAAAGTTCACACTTACAGCACAATTCACAACTACGAAACAAACCTGAGGTTCAAAATCAACCCGCCCCACCTCCATTAAGCCACAAGGTGAGCGGAGCCGAGGCAGGGTCCTGAACATCCGCTTCCACGAACCAGAAAAACAGGGCACGTCCGGCCTTCTCGTCCACGGTGATGTACCCCGACCGCATGGAGAAGGGAAATTTGGGCGCTCCGGGCAGGCTTACGATCAGATGTGGGTCTGCAATTGACTTCCTCCCAACATCTTCTCCTCCGCCATTCCCCCTCTCAGTCGCCAGACGGATCAAATTCGATCGAAGCCCATCCACCCCCACCGACAAAACAGCACTCACAATCATGAAACACACCCAGACACTCCCAAAATTTCTGCTCAATTTCGCCATTGCAATAGACCGCGAGAAACCCAAATTGGTGGAGAGCACGACCGACACCACTACAGAAGGAGCTGGCTGCGACGTTATTGTTGCTGGCCATTCAAGCAAAGCTTCGGCAACGTCCTTGAGGGCGGCAAGACGCCCCCGCCAGATTCAGTCGCGCCCATAGGGCCCGCTATCGCACCCGGGTGTCTACCGTGCACCCTCGGGGTATATATCGCGGTCGTGGGTTCCCCATCGGTCTCCGCGCCTTCGTCAACGGTCTCCTATCCACCATGGCGTGTGTGCAGTCATAAGTTCATTCCAATTCATATGGATCAATTAAAGTTTTAAGTGAAGCGGGTCTTGAGGACTTGCTCTTCATGAATATTGTGATCAAATTTGGCACTTTCTTTATGATATGTAGTTCCCTTGTTCTCATACATACTGCCATTATCCTAAATTTGTAAGATTTGTTGGTTGTGATTAATAAGCACACAAATACTTATTAAAACTTTAAAAAATATACACATATTTTTATATTTATTTTATCATCGAATATGGCGTTTATATTTCATATAAAAAATTCAAGGCTATAATTATTTTCCTTCAAATTTATATATACATACATGCATACCATGGTATAAAGGTGACAAGGATATGAATTTCAAAGAACAAAAACTCAATACACTCTTGTATCACTCAAAAAGATTAAAAAGTCACTCAAAATTGGTAGTATATTGAACTTGAATGGCTATTACCAAAGACAAGAAGACTTAAGAGTCTTGAAACAAAACTAACAACTGAAAAGGCATTAATAAGAGTGAAGAAGGCTTCACTCTTGCCTCCATATATACTATCTAACTAGAAGCTATGTTGTAATATTTTATAGGACCTCTAACACATGTTGACTTTGCAAGACATATATCTTATTTTACAAGGGAAGTTTTTTATATGTGTTTCACATAATTAGCTTCTTCCATAAGCTACCAACATATGTGATACATGATTAATTTGTTGACTAAGTTTCAAATCAATTAATCAACTACAAACATGTTTAAAGTCAATTATGTCTATAAAACTTTTAGAAAGCTTTTCTATAACATATTATAAAGTTAATTTATTTTTATTTATTTCTACCTAATTATATAGATAATTATTAGAATAAATTTGTATGTCCATGATATTACTCCCCCTTCTAAAAACAAGTTCTATGATGAGCAATCATCATTATTCATGGATCTTATAATTCTTCATCTTCATCTTAATAAATGCCATCAATGAAAAGCTTCAACCTTCTTTGCAATATTTGCGAGTTTCTTTACTAACTTTCATATACATTCACTAATATCATATTTGCACCAATGAACAAGATATTCCAATATATTTTGACATCGCCTTGAATCTAAGACTTCTTCTATCTCAAACTTTAGATTATTATCTACTTCTAAAGCAAGAGATGGCATTTGTCTTCTTCCTAAGATATTTATTGTCTTATATGGATAAGAAGAAATACATTGTCATATAGTGTGATTTTCTATCTAGAAATATATTAGATATGAGTTACAGAGCGTTTAGCTTAAATTTATTGAATAAGTTCTAATAAAAAACATATTCTTATTATAGACATCAAATAAATATAATAGTATTAAAAGATATATTATTGATAAAATTCTTTGATATTTAAGAAGCTTTATACATAAGGCTTTCTAAAGCATCTAGAATGCTCTAAAATCCTTTGTTATATCAAGTCATAATTAAATTATTGGTCAGTAAGCTTGATTTCCAATAAGCTCAAAAAAAATCCTTAATCCTCTTATAAAAATCTATCTTTATATCATAATTTTGCCATAGCTCTATATCCCCACTTTTAATATATATATATAAAATATATATAATATATATATATATATATATATATTAGATATATATATATATATATATATATATCTCAAAATCTCCTCTATTTTTCATAAAATGTCCAAATTATTGCAAAATCCTTTCAAAATTTTTTTTTTCTATATATGATTTTTTCTCTCCAAACTTTAGAAATTCTTATCTCTTGATTCAATTATTCTATTTTTTTCAAATTTCTAGATAATATAGAATTTATTCTTAAGCTTTATCATAAAATAAATGAACCATAAATCTTTAATAGATAGTTTAGCAACTTAGAAATCCTAGTAGATGTTTTAAATCCTAATTTATAAACATCTAAGTGGTATTTTTTTATATTTCAAAAATAAAAGATTTAAATGCCTAAAATTTTTATATAAAGTATAGTGACACAATAATATATATTTTTAGAAATATTTAGCCAAAATCTTATCAAATTACTTAAGATATAGCTCGAAATACAACCACTAGTAAATTGGGTCATTTATTGCCCTTAGATTGCAAGCACTGACTTCAACTTCCTATAACTCCTTCACTTCAACTTAGAATTTTTTTAAAAATATATAAAAAGTATAGCTAAAAAAGTGCTCTCTTCAATATTAATTTTCGATCCTTCATTGCTTTCCAAACATGCATGTTATATTCAAAAGAGTGATAGTAGATACAAAATCAACTTCTTAATTTTGAGTGCCTATATCTCTTTCATAAAAACTCCAATTCATACAAAATTTGTATAAAAACTATAGCCAAAATCCTAAATTTTTTTATTCTTGCCTCTTAAATTCAAATTCCCTTAAAAAAGTATCCTTAATTTCTAATAAGGCCTCAGGCAGCTTCCTTGAAGTCCATTGGACATGCCTTTTGGCCATTAGCAATGGAGATTTTTATCATCCATCTCCATTCATCCATATGGATACCCTAACTATCTCTTTGGCTACCAAAATTCTTTTGTAATTCTTTTTTTAGAAGATCTACATAATATATGGCCTAACATCAAATAAAAGAAATAATACAAAATTTCAAGAGTCACCAATGTGTAATAAAGGTGGTTCTAAATATATAAAACTATTATCAATATAAAATCAATTTTAATAATAGCTTTTAAAACTAAATACTTCAAAGTAGTAATCTAATCATATTATGTAATTAACAAAAATCTAATAATATAGCTTTTATTATATTATATAATAAATTTTATATTAATTATATATATATATATATATATATATATATATATATATACATTATTTTTACATGGTAGCCAAACCACAATATGATAATGTGGAATACAGAATGGAACTTTATAGATTCTAGTAGATAAAATTGATAAAAAACATGATTGACTTATTCATAAATAGAAAAAAATCTAAACTTATAATAGTCCAACTTGTCACAAGGATGAGTAGTCTTGATATTGCAACAAAATAATCATATCTTATCATCTCCATTGAATTGTGTTTATTTTTTTATAATAGGCATATGCATTGATCTTTTATTTTTCTTAATTAAACTTTATTTAATTACACCTTCATCATTGCATGTAGCTCTAATAATCAATTTGTCAAATTTTTTGTAATAAGATTATCAACTTTTAAAAAGTCAAAAGTATTAAGCCATAGATGATAACCATAATTGATAAAAAAATATATATATATATATTTGTTAAATAAAAGAATGTACCAAATATTATATACAAATTCTATCAATAGTAAAAGAATTATTTAATTATCTTAATGATAATTCATGGTATACATCTGCAAAGTTCCATGTCTTTTCTTTACAAATAAAATAAGAGCCATCATTAAAAAATTTGAATAACATATGAAGTTTTTAACCAAGTTCTTATCAATGTACTCTTTTAATCCAAATAATTCATTTTTTGATAAGTTGTAGATTGGTCTAAATGATGGTTGAGCTTTTTCTTACAAATTATGTTGAACAATCATATGATCAATATATTGGAATAATATTTGTATTTTTTAAAAAAATAACTTAAAAATCTTAATATTGGCTATGAATACTACTTAATTTTTTTTCACCATTACAAATGAATATGGCATATATAGCCAAAAATGATTCTTTTTTTATTACATGTATGAAATTTTTTGTATATACCAATAAAGATTTGGATGTATTAAACTTATGTACTTGTCAAGGATATGAATCTCAAAGAACAAAAATGTCAATACACTTTGGTGACACTCAAAAAGACTAAAACATTATTAAAGATGATATAGTATTAAACAAAAATGGCTATTGCCAAATACAAGAAGATTAGAAAGTCTTGAAGCTAGACTAATGACTAGAAAGGCATTAACAAGAGTAAAGAAGGCTTTACTCTTGCTTCTACGTATACTCTTAATTAAGAGTTACATGGCAATGTCCTATAGGACCTCCAAAACATATCGATTTTGCAACACATATCTTAACTTACAAGGTAATTTTTTTGTATGTATGCCACATAGTTAGCTTGTTTTACAAACTACCAATATGTGGTTAACTTGTTGACTAAGTTTTTAACCTACCAATTAACTATAAATACATATAAAATTAAATCAACATCTATAAAGCTTCTAAGAAGCTATTTTAAAAAATATATTGAAATAAATTTAGTTTTATTTATTTCTATTTAATCATATAAGTAAATATTAGAATAAGTATGCATGTCCATGACATTGTTTTTCCTTCTAAGGACAAGTTTCATGAGAGGTGGTCATCACATCTTGAGAAAATCCAAGATGTAGTGAATTTTGTTTGCTACATACTCTAATCTTTCTTTATTTTGAACATAGTTAATAGATCCTCTTAGCCATGAATAATATTTTATACTATAGCAAAAAGATCGCTATATTATTTAATTATTATTCACGCCTTTGTAACTTCTTTCAAATAAAATATTTTGAACACTATCAAGAATTATTCAACTACTAGTAAAATCACCAAAAATCAGGATTTTCTTCTAATATTGTATTATCAAATATGTTATATTTTGCCATCTATTTGAAAAAAGATGTGTCATTTTTGAGGATCTTTATTTCAATTATGTTATCTTAAATGTGTGATAATTATAATATTTTGTCTAATGAATCAACAAATAAAAGCTCTTGAGTTGAACCTATTGGTTGTTGGTTTTTCATATCCTTAGGATCACAGATGCACAAAAGTACTAAACAAGAATAGAAGATAGAATGATATCTTTCTTGGATCTTGTTTCTTTTATAGCAAAGATTTGTTATTCTTCATCTTGGTTTTGATGAATGTCGTCAATGAAAAGCTT